GAACCCGCCACCTTAGGTGTATGTGGCTGGCGCCTTAGCCACTTGAGCCACAGGCGCCGAGCCGATTTTTCTGTTTTTAGTAGAAATGGAGGTCTCACTCTTGCTCAGGTTGGTCTGGAGCTCCTGAGATCAAGGAATCCTCCCACCCTGGCCTTACAGAATGCTAGGATTATAGGTATAAGCCACCTTGCCTAGCCATCACTCACTATAGATCCATATATATCTCTTGTATATTAAGTAGTAAGATTAGCTGGGCACAGTGGCTCAGACCTGCAGTCCTAGCACTCTGGGAGGTTGGGAGATTCACTTTCAGGCTAGGAGATGAAGACAAGCCTCTGCAACATAGTAACACCCTATCTTTACAAAAAAAAAAAAAAAAATTAAAAATTTTGTAGTGTACACCTGTAGTGCCAGCTACTTGGTAGTCCTAGTTAGGAAGATCACTTGAGCCCAGGAACTCAAGGCTGCAGTGAGCTTGATCACCTCACCACATTCGAGCCTAGGTGAGAGCAAGACTACATAGGATAATTGCACATTTTCTTTTTTTAAGACCGAGTCTCAAGCTGTCCCTGGGTAGAGTGCTGTGTCACTACTCACAGCAACCTCAAACTCTTGGGTTTAAGTGATCCTCTAGCTTTAGCCTCCCAAGTAGCTGGGACTATAGGCACTCGCCATAACGCCTGGCTATTTTTTGGTTGTACTTGTTGTTTGGTAGGCCCAGGCTGGGTTCAAACCCGCCAGCTCTGGTGTATGTGGCTGGTGCCTTAAGTTGCTTGAGCTTTAGGCACTGAGCCGGTAATTGCACATTTTCCAAACATTTTTATACCAGCCAGTGGTGTAAGCTATTAATTCTTTTTATAATCCAGAAGATATGGCCAGGCACAGTGGCTCATGCCTGTAATCCTAGCACTCTGGGAGGCCGAGGTGGGTGGACTGCTTGAGCTCACAAGTTTGAGACTAGCCTGAGCAAAAAGCAAGACCCGTCTCTACTAAAAATAAGAAAATTGAGGCAAGAGGATCTCCGGAGTTGGAGGTTGCTGTGAGCTATGATGCTGTGATGCCATGGCATGGCACTCTATCGAGGGCAACAGCTTGAGTTTATGTCCCCCCCCCCCAAAAAAAAGAAAAAAGGTTCAGTGGTAGTAAATAGTTTACCCAGGGACCCATAGTCTTCAAGTCCAATTTGGGAAAGAGGTGGACCCAAAGGAGAGCAGAGTTTGAGGGCCTAGACTTCTCTGAGACTGGCCTAAGCCACACCTGCTGGGGTTCCTAAGGCAGCCACTTAGAGGTGAGCAGGAGTATGGGAGGAGTCCTCTGTCCTTTGTTGGAGGAGAAAGTTAAGTTCTCAGTTGGCCCTGGCTAACTCTGGAAGTTTGGGCGTGCCATGGAGGGAGAAGCATGAGTTGCAGTTGTGTAATGGGTGAGGTGACAGGTGATTGGATGGGTATGTTGAAAACAGGTCTGGAGGAGGGTAGTGGTCAGTCAGTTCAGCACATGGGAATGTTGCTCTAGCCTCTGTGGCTTCTGCAACCAACCAGTCATGACCTCCATAGTCCAGTTCCTAATAGGGAAATCAAACCTAGCGCCACCTCCATCCAGTCCCCTAAATCATCCTACTGTTTTGGCTAACCAGCCCTCCTCCCAACTCACCCCACTTTTTTCATGCTGACCTCTTTTGTGCTGCTGTTCTTGGTTCTGGGGTCCAGCCCAACCCCTCTAGGAAACCTCTAGGATTGGTGAATCTAGGGACTGTTCATGAGAATTATGTATTCAACATAAGGAGACCTTGAAAGTTAACATCTTCATCAAATACTTTTGGGATGGGACTGGGGATGGTAGGGTTAAAACGGGGGAGACCCAGAACTAGAGGGTAGGTTCATTACAAGAATTCAAATCTCCCTCAAGAATATAAAAATGAGTCTTTCCCGACAAAAACACCCAAATGGCGGGTGACGCTAGTGCAGCGGGAGGGCCTGGAGGCCCCAGGGACCCTGGAATGGGAGGCTGTGGTGGTTTCCATGGAGGCTTCAGCAGTGGCATTCGAGGCTGGGGTCACAGAAGCAAGGCCGAGGACAAAGAGTGGATGTCTGTCACCAACCTGGGCCGCCTGGTCAAGGACATGAAGATCAAATCCCTGGAGATCTATCTTTTCTCCCTGCCCATTAAGGAATCTGAGATCATTGATTTTTCTTGGGGCATCTCTCAAGGATGAGGTTTTGAAGATTATGCCAGTGCAAAAACAGACCCGTGCTAGCCAGAGGACCATGTTCAAGGCGTTTGTTGCCATTGGGCACTACAATGGCCATGCCAGTCTGGGTGTTAAGTGTTCCAATTAAGTAGCCACTGCCATCTGAGGGGCCATCATTCTGGCCAAGCTCTATTGTCCCAGTGCAGAGAGGCTACTGGGGGAATAAGATCGGCAAGCCTCACACTGTTCCTTGCAAGGTGACAGGCCGCTGTGGCTCTCTGCTTGTACGTCTCATCCCTGCTCCTAGAGGAACTGGCATTGTCTCAGCACCTGTGCCTAAGAAGCTGCTAATGATGGCTGGGATCGATGACTGCTGCACTTCAGGCAGGGGCTACACTGCCACCCTGGGCAACTTTGCCAAGGCCACTTTTGATGCCATTTCCAAGACCTATAGCTATCTCCTGATCTCTGGAAAGAGACAGTGTTCACCAAGTCTCCTTACCAAGAATTCACTGACCATCTTGTAAAGACCCACACCAGAGTCTCTGCAGAGGACCCAGGCTCCAGCTGTGGCTACAACATAGGGTTTTTATACAAGAATAAAGTGAATTAAGTCTGTTAAAAAAAAAAAAAGGTAAAATGAGGCCAAAAGTTGTTCCCACTGCTCTCTAGCCTGGGCAACAGTGAGACCTCTATTTTTGGGGGGAGGGAGACACTCTCACTTGGTCACTCTTCATAGAGTGCTCGGGTGTCATAGCTCACAGCAACCTCAGATTGCTGGGCTTAAGTGATTCTCTTGTCTCAGCCTCCCAAGTAGCTTGGACTACAGGCATCCACCACAACACCCTGCTACTTTTAGAGATGTCTCACTCTGGCTCAGGCTGGTCCAGAACTTGTGAGCTCAAGCAATCCACATGCCTCAGCCTCCCAAGTGCTGGGATTACGGAAGTGAGCCACTGCCCCCTGCGTTTTTCTATATTTTAGTAGAGCCAGGTCTTACTCTTATTTATTTATTTTAGAGACAGAGTCTCACTTTATCACCCTTGGTAGAATGCCGTGGCGTCACACAGCTCACAGCAACCTCCAACTCCTGGGCTTTAGGCAATTCTCTTGCCTCAGCCTCCCTAGTAGCTGGGACTACAGGCACCCACCACAACGCCTGGCTATTTTTTTGTTGCAGTTTGGCCAGGGCCAGGTTTAAACCTGCCACCCTCGGTATATGGGACCGGCGCCCTACTCACTGAGCCACAGGAGCTGCCCTTTTTTTTTTTTTTTTTTTTTTTTTTGAGACAGTCTCACTGTGTCACTCAGTACAGTGCTGTGACATCACAGCTCACAGCAACCTCAAACTCTTGGGCTTAAGTGACTCTCTTGTCTCAGCCTCCCAAGTAGCTGGGACCTGCCACAACGCCTGGCTATTTTTTTGTTGTAGTTGTCATTGTTGTTTAGCAGGCCTGGGCCAGGTTCAAACCTGCCAGCCCCAGTGTATGAGGCCGGCACCCTAACCATTGAGCTACGGAGCCAAGCTAGGTCTTACTCTTGCTCAGGCTGCTCTCCAACTCCCCAGCTCAAGCAATTCACCTGCCTCAGCCACCCAGAGTACTGGGATTCCAGGCATGAGTTAATATACCCGGTCCCAGACCCCAATTTCTTTTTTCTATCTTATTTTATTTTTTCTTCTTACAGACCCCTATTTCTTAAAAATAAATAAATAAATAAAGCACAGTGATGGTGCCAACAACATACACCAAGGCTGGCTGGTTCAAACCAGCCCTGGCCTGCTAAACAACAATGACGACTGCAACAGAAAAAATAGCCGGGCATTGTGTAGGGTGCCTGTAGTCCCAGGTAGTTGGGAGGCTGAGGCAAGAGCTCAACCCACAAGTTTAAAGTTCTTATGAACTGTGGCGCCACAGCACTCTTATCTAGGGCGACATAGTGAGACTGTCTCAAAAAAAAAGAAAGGAAGAAGCAAATCTAAAAAAATTTTTTTTGCCAGGCGCAGTGGCTCACACCTATAATCCCAGCACTTGGGACGCCAAGTGGGTGGATTGCCCGAGCTCACAGGTTCGATACCAGCCTGAGCCACAGCGAGACCTCATCTCTAAAAATAGCCGGGCGTTGTGGCAGGCGCCTGTCATCTCAGCTACTTATGAGTCTGAGGCAAGAGAATTGCTTAAGCCTAAGAGTTTGAGGTTGCTGTGAGCTGTGACGCCATGGCACTCTACCGAGGGCAACAAAGCAAGACTGTCTCAAATAAAAAAAATTTTTTTTCACTAATTTTTGGTGATTCTTTCCAGTATCATATATAGTCTTGAGTAACTTTAACTTTCAGCGTTCTACAAAGTTACTGCCAGGGTAGCCAACCCACAATAAAATTCATTTGAAAAAGGCAAAGCAGGCTCAGCGCCTGTGGCTCAGGTGGCTAAGGCGCCAGCCACATACACCTAACGTGGCGGGTTCAAATCCAATCCGGGCCGCCAAACAGCAACGACGGTTGCAACCAAAAAATAGCCAGG